ATATATATATATATATATATATATATATATATACACATATACACACACACCGGTATATATATGCATCTGAAATGTGCACTGCTAGCTTAGTGCTACGTCAGTTGTCAGCGGATGTAGTTATGGGTGAAGGACATTTCAGTAGGCAGGGCGCTCTGTTCTGTTCTGTTGACAGGGCAGGACACCCTCCTTGTATAACGGTAGGGAAAACACTGATATATACAAACTTTTGCATATCCACAAAACATTGGTTCCTTTTGGACAAAGACAGATTAATGTATTGCTTAAAATAAACAAATAAATCACTTCCTAATATCTAGATGTGCTGCTGACTTCCATTTTCTGTCTTCCATTGACAATCTTTCTTAAATTTGGAATCTTAAGACCTGATTATACCTTTAAGAACACTAGAAACACTAAAAATAATACAAGTTGTTACATCTTGATTGTTATTTAATACAAAAGGTAAAAAAAAAAGCAAGGTCTTTGTGAAAAGTGGCGAAACAAACAATATATTTGTAACATAATCGCCTGTTTGTTTCAATTGTCTTCTGACAAACTATTAAACCCCTTGAATTTGTTTCAACAGCAGTTCTTTCAGTGTCCATCCATCATCTTTACCTGCTTCTTCCTTTCCAGGTTGCGGGGACACCTTGGACAGGTCCAAGTCCATCACAGGGACACATAGAGACAAACAACCATTCACTCTCTCACTCACACCTAGAGACAGAGTTACCAATCAGCTTAACATGCATGTTTTTTAGTCTGTGGGAGGAAACCGGAGTACCTGGAGAAAACCCACGCATGCATGGAGAACATGCAAACTCCACCCAGAATAGACCCCCGGCCGGGATTCGATCCAGCAACCTTCTCGCTGAGAGGCAACAGCTCTACTAACTGCACCACAGCGCTGCTCTTCCATTGTCTTTGTTTAATTCACATTGTAGTGCTTTATCTGCAGTTAATGTGAGTCACGACAGAGTCCAAGCTGAGTATCTTTAGGATTCATCCATGCCGAGATGAAGAAACACTCACTCTGCAGCGTGCGGGGATCGATGAGATGGATGGTGCTGGTCACACGAACGCAGACGCAGATTTGACCCATGTTCCCCAGGCTCTGCGCCAGCCGCGGTGAAAGACACACAACATTGTCCTGAAAACAAAACACGGAAAATCAAGTTAAACTGACTAGAAGACACATAAAAACCTATGTTTACAGTTGCTAGTTTCTCGAGTGAAGATTTTCTTGTTTAACAGTAGGGTCAAACTGCAACTAAACCATGTTGTGCTAAAAAAACAACTCCACACAACTAAAACTAAATATCAAAAATAATTCTGAAAAAGTATAAACAATTTTTATTATAAAACAAAATAAATCATCCTTTTCTCCACGCGTTTTGACATTTATCACAAATAAAAATGATAAAAAAGTTGGATTCTTTAAGATGCTCAGGTTTCCAGCTGCATATGAGCACATCATCAAAACGTGCCTTGCTAAAATAAAGACGTGCAATTACGGTTCTGGTTCCAGCTGAGCAGATATGAATACATGTAATTTCTAAAAATAAATCCAAACAAACAATAGAGAAATTAAATGTTAAGATAAAACTGGTGTATACCTTGCACACAGGAACAATTTCTACAGAGAAAGTGCTCTTATAGTTGTAGGTGTTGGAATGAATATCATGAGAGATGAGGCGCTGAGACGTTTTACACCTTTTAAAAAACAGAAAAAAACATTTAATACATCATTCAGATACTAAAATTGTTTCAAAAGTCAGATAGTTATAAACGCAATTAGAAGTTTTGAATGTCAAATTCAGAGCAGAGTTCAAAAGCTTACCACAAACCTACAAAGCCCTCAACAACCTAGCTCCATCTTATATTACAGATCTTATTATCCCATATTTTCCTAACAGAGCACTTTGTTCTCAGACTGCAGGTTTACTTGTGGTTCCTAGTTTCCTTAAGCAGAATGGGAGGAAGATCTTTCAGTTATCAGGCTCCTCTCTTGTGGAACCAACTTCCAGTTTCTGTCTGTACGGCTGACACATTGTCCAGTTTTAAAACTGGGCTTAAGACTTTCCTTTGTAATAAATCCTATCGGTCGGCTTATTATGCTGCTATAGGCTGAGACTACTAGAGGACAAACAGACCACATTTTTTTAAATGAATTGTTAAAATTGAATAGTTTTCATTTGATACTATTTCTATCTTAACGTGATTCTCGACCTGCCATTGGGTATCTGTTCTTCCTTCCTGTTCCTACCAAACCCAGCTGGTCGAAGCAGATGGCCGCTTGTCCTGAGCCTGGTTCTGCTGGAGGTTTCTTCCTCATGAGGGAGTTTTTCCTTCCCACTGTCGCCTTCATGCTTGCTCAAGATGAGAATCTGCGATGAAGTTAACTCAAAGCAGTCAGCTCCTCGGATAAATAATGTTATTAACTTAATTTGTACGTATATGAATGTTTCTGTTCAGTGCCCTGAGATGACTTCTGTTGTTACTTGGTGCTATATAAATAAACTGAACTGAACACAAGTACAAGACGCTTGGACATAACATTCTCAGAAATATATTGTTACAAAAAGAAACTTCACAACTTTTTAAACGGTTGACCTTTTTCTGAGAGGTAGCTACCATTGTCCACTCTACTACAACTTAACAGATGGAAATCACAGCTTATGAATCAAAGCGTATCAGTGTGAAGGCTTCCTAAACAGCGCTCACCTGCAGGGCACGGTGCACTGCAAGAAGTCAACCATCTTCTGCGCGTGCTGCTTGAAGCCGTAGTAAAAATCGATCCCATCTACGAGAGAAAAGCCGCACCATCAAACACTCTCCACCGATAAATACATTGCAGGTGCGGTGCGTCGGGTCAGCTCTATTTCAGGGCTCCGACACATGCAAACAATCCACACGAGAAAGCTGATGAGGAGAGAAGAAAAATATGGCAGCCACATGTTGAAACCTTCATGAAGCTTTCAAGTCCTGCCGCGATGTGGAGGGGATTTAATTTATAGTATTGGGCTTAATTCCACTTTACAATCGTGTCCAGGAGGACGTGCAGCTGCTGCTGAGCTGTCACAGCGTGCGTCTGGTGAAGTGCAGCTTTGCATGCCTTAAAAAGGGGTATGAAGAGAGCTTGCTTGGTAAGAATCTGGCATGAAACGCCTGCTCTGATTACAGGACGCTGATTAGATGCACACCACACTGAGGCCAGCTGAGCTACGTGTTCTTTGAGACATGCGTGCCCAGCTTGCTCTCTGCTACAGGACGAGGTAATTAACACACAACACATCGTTACGCTCCGCTTCGCTCGACTCTAAACCAGCCCCGCTCATGGCAAACAAAGGCATTTTAAACTTTTCAGTACAAATAGAAGCTTTGCGAACAAGTCGTCCCATCCTTTAAGATAAACTCTCACGACAACAACAACAAAACTAACAAAAAAAAAAAAAACAACGTACCATGAATTTCTTTGATGTTGAGAGCATTCTGGTGGAGTTTATGCTTTAGGATCAGCTGCTCTAGATAGTAGAAGGTCTTTTTATGAACAGTCTGGAAAATATAGAGAAAATATATTCAGGGATTAAAGCAACAATATATATATATATATATATATATATATATATATATTTTTTTTTTTTTTTTTTTTTTTCCAAAATTATTTTTTTTCTACACCTATGGGGTACCCAAGCACCCCCCCCCCCCCCAACACACACACACACACACAAACCCCAATACCACACCTTTAAGAGCTTAAACCTGTTTATAGGTAATTTTCACATAAAGAGTTACTGTGTATAGTGTTTCCCCTAGATTACTTGCCATGGTAGGGTGCTCATCTTGTCAGTGATTTTTGTCGGGGGGGGGGGGGGGGGGGGGTGTTGACAGAGACATGTCTGAGCTGCACGCTGTTGTACTGACAGTTTTTTGGGAGCACAGTTGGTTCAGCGAGGGAAGAGGCAGCATGAGCGCTGCCTATAATCAACTCGCAGGCCACTTCCGGCCTGCGGGAGACTTTAGTCCAGCCCACCAATGATGAGTTCATTAAATATATTTATTTTTGGTGGTTCTGGGTTTTGTTTATTGCATTTATGATTCGATGCATAAAAACAAATGTACAAGTTAACAGATCATTGTAATACTTGGTGTATTTACACAATGACTTTAATTGCTGGATGTGCGGCCCCTGAGCTGCTGGCTTTCAGTAACTGTGGCCCCCTGAGCAGATTAGTTGGAACAGTCCTGCTCTAGCTTTTTAGCTAGCTTGCCTGTATTTCACACCACTAGCTTAGTGCTACGTTGGTGCCGGCAGTTCATTTTGGAAGGAAGGGCGCTCGGTTCTGTTAACAGGTGGGGCGCCCTGCTTGTACAATGGTAGGGGAAACACTGGTGTACACGAACTTAGTAAAAGTACACAGTACAGTGTTCTCTGATGAAGCTCCATCAGGACCAGCATCATTCTGAAGGACGAGATGACTTTTGAACAACTTTTCTGTAGTTTACTTTTGTCATTTAAGTGTTTTAAATTGAGGGGTTATCAGATCTATTAAAAAAATTATAGTACAAGAAGTTTGTTGCAAAATATAAATTAACTTGAAATGTATTACTTTTTAATTTGCCAGACAGACATCTCCCTTGAAATGATCTTTCCAAGGGATTATATTTACAGGATTTGAGCTCATGTAGTCTTTTAATACAATTTATTTTTCATATTGGATCATTTATTAAATTACGTTAATCACAGTATAGTTACCTCTCGGTGTGATGGTAAACATAATAAATTCTAGCACATCCAAGCAGGCGCAACACCTTGTTGTTGCTAAAACTGTGTAAAATTGAATTTGCAGACATGTACGATAAACTACACAAACCTGAAACTGACTCTCACAGAGAAAACTTCATGAGTTCGGGGGGAAAATTTAAATTAAATGGAGACGCACGTCAATGTTAATAATCTGGGGCATATAAATATTTGTTTTGGCATTAATATTGTTTAATTATAAGAACTAAAGCAGCAGACGCAGCCTCCTCTCTCACCGTGAGAGACACTCAGGACCAGGAGTTTGGTGACGCGCAAGTTGCACGTCTGTACGATGATGATAACAATGCTCCGAACACTTAAAACATTTATTTCAAAGTTCGATTTTAGATACAAAAGTCTCGAGGAAGTCAGGGGCGCGGGTAATGGTGTATCAGTTCAGGTATCTCCTCCGGCTGCAGTGACTCCAGGATTCAAGGTTCTTTATTTGTCATTCGCACCACTGGAACGAAACTGTGAGTTGGTCAAAATAGTGAGAATAAAAATAGTGAGTTAGTCACATGTGAACACTTATTAATGCATAGACGTGTAATTATTTATTACATGTCCATTAGGGTGGCGGGGTGTCCTCCATGGAAAACAGTACTGGAAGCAGCAATTGGTGCTTTCACCTGAAGTCTGTCTCTAAGTTGGGAACACTGCTCAGCCCCGGGCTCACCATGAATCAAGCAGGACCTGCTCTGCTCTGCCTGGGTCAAGCTCTGTTTCTCTGTATTTGTTGAACAAGCAGCGTCAGTTTAGTCCCTGTATCATTTCATTGAATGGCTTTAAAAAGACCACAACAAAACACACACTTTTTTTCCCCCTTTTCATTTTTACAGATGACAGAAATCTGCCCTGGCCACGTACAAAATGATAGAAATCCAGTGCAACAACAGAGAACTTTAATCCTTCTATACTACACTGAGACTCATCTATGTTTTTGACATTAAACCTGTTGACACCTTGACCTTTCAGGAAAGACCTCCAGGTTGTAACTAAAATGAGAAAAATGGATTTTTAACAAAGCAAGGTTGGACAAAAATTAATTAAGGGACAAAAAGCAACTCAGATGAAAAAGTTAGTGCAAGCATGTTAATTAAAACTACAATGACGGCTACTAGAGACTTAAAGCTTCTTTCTGTGTACACGTTCCTTTTTAATCAACCGGGCGATGATTCGTGTAAAAGTGGTGATGAGTGATGCAATTACCGATGGGAAAGATGTGTCACCTTAAATTAGAGATGATCTATCACAGCGAGCTGAGATTAATTGTCATTAACAGCTGACAACATAAAAGTGAAACAGAGACAAAAAACTCCAGAAATCCCCTGTTGGTTAACATACAGCCTATAATAAGCAGGTGGGCTTTGCTAAACTATAGGCTGGAAGTTCATACTCCTTTCATGGAAATTAGAATCAGAACCACGTTCTTTCCACTCAAACAGCAAGCCAAAGCTTGTTTTAATCCATGCCTGGGTGTGAAATGAGATGGAGGTATTCAGAACAATGTTTGTTTCTGCTAAATGCCAAAAACTCAAAAGTTTTGATAAGATGGATTTAAAAAAGTTCGACAGAATCTCAGACTAAATCAGACTTGAACTGAACTCTACTGACTTGTTGTTTTGTCCAGTTTTGTGTGCAAAACAATCTGAAAGGCTAATTTTGTGATCTGAGCTACACGTTTAGTTCAGTAAAACATGTCCTCTGTTCACTGGTACAACTAACTTCTGTTTATGATCATCTTTACTTTATTAGAACGTTAGGGTTTTGTCACTGTGTGTATTTGTGATTTACAAGCGAAATGTTATTTTGGTTTGGATAAGGCAATGACCACACAACTAGTGAATTTCATCTACAAAAACAAGCAGATTTACAAATGTGCCAAATGAATACATGCTTATAAACAACATGTACAAACTGGTGTCAGAGTAAGCTAAAGGTTAGGAGTGATCCATCAGTAAACCAGTGATACCCACCTTCTGCCTAACTTGGACCACTGCTTTCCAGAAGTCTTTGGCCTCCACACGATGGCAGTCGTCACACATCTGGTACTGAATGACAAACTCCACCACAAACACCTGCTGAAGGATGGCGCCATTCATCACCTGGAGACCAAAAACACAGCAACAAGGTAAACAAGCTGTAGCTGCATTGAAGAAATAGAGCTGTCATTTCTAACCCGAACCTGGAGCCTGGCCCAACCCGGATTAGGGCCGGGCCATAATAATGTGCGGGCCAGGACGGTGTCTGGCTTTTGATTGCGTAAGCGAACGCATGCGGCTGACAATCCAATTATATGGCAACGTGGCTTGCCATACATTCACCTGACGCACGGCTATTTGACCGTGTGCTGACCAGAAATGGACATTCATTCAGCCGCTGCACTCAGCAGACGCGCGCGACCAACAACCCAAACAGATGAGATCCCAAAATATCCTGCAGACATGTCAGAGCAGGGTCCATGTCTGAATAATGCAGATTGCAGACAGAAGCAGGGATTTAATACACTTTGACAGCCAAGAAAGGACAAACACCCCCTCAGCTTCGATCTTCTGTCCCTTTACACAGCCGCATGCAAATCTTAATTAAAAATGTCGGGGTGGTGTTCGGGTTTGGACCTGTAATTCGTCGGGTGGGGCTCGTCTATGGGCTGGGGCCCGATCTGATTTTTTTGGGCCTGAATGCAACTCTACAGTGAACTAACTCGCACGAGGACTTGGCGATTGTTTTTACACTGGATGCCCTTCCTGACACAATCGCAGTCCACTGAGCTACCACAGCCCCCTGTGTGGAGCAGCGCTGTCATCTAGGGCGCCCGGGAGAGGGGGTTAAGGGCCTTGCTCAAGGGCCCAGAGTGGGGCAAATGAGGGTGGAGGCAGATGTGGTTGTTTTGACTTTCCCACCCAGTTTGATGTTGTCGGTCTGGGGAGTTGAACCGGCAACTTTCCGATCACAGACCCACTTCTCTAGCCTCTGCGTCACCACTCCCCCATATTTACACACATATATATTTACACACACATATACGTATATATGTACACACATACACACAAAAGAGAGCAATAAAAGGCTCTCCATCAGCACAAATAAAGGAGTTGGCACCAAGACGCCTGACAGCTCAAGTTCTCACTGAAGGTCAAGGGGATGAGATAACAGCCAAATGCAAGACTTTACTCCCCTCAGCCAAGAACAGACAAATCTGTTGCTCTGGTGTACACAATTTTCATTAATGTGTTTATTGCATGTCCACAGAAGTATTTTCATGTAAACTCTTACATAAAACACAATTTAATATTATGACTCAAGTGCAATCACCTGCTAATAAGCACCTAAAAGAAATAAAAAAAGTGCTGCTGTTTGACCAACAAAAACAATCTCTTATCTTAAGTCACTGATCAGTTTAAGTCTCAGTTTAAGTTTCATTTTCACACATTTACCTTACCTCTTTCTGAACGGTCAGTTTCATCTTAATCCTCTTGGAGTGCGGCTCCGTCCACAGGAAGCCAGCATCAATGAGACGCACCTGTGAAAGGAAAGGGAGCGATGAATTCAAAACGCTCTGAGCCGAATACTCACAAACAACACTGATCAACATCTCAGCATGTCAGAGAAATAAACCTAACCCATGTCTAAATATTTACCTAACCCATGTCTAAATATTTACATAGAATTCCATAAATATAAAGAATAAAATGCTTTTACAGCAATGCACTGATAATGTCTATATTTAATTTAATAGTAAATTTGAAGGGGCATTATGTAATTTTTATTAACTAACCAATCATTGAAATTAAAACACTGGAAATATGTTTGTTTCTGCTCAGAAACAAGGAAAATCACAACGAAAATAAAAATTTACGTGGTAAAACTAATGTATCTTGTTCACAATTTTACATGTTTATTCTTCTTTAAATAAAGTTTTACATAAGCTTTTAGCTCAAGCCAATCATTGGCTCTAGTTGAACTCATAAGATTCCATCTTACTTTGGTCATTGAGCTCTTAAGTTTTTTAAGACAGAGAGCCAGCAGCTCCCTGGACTCCAGAGCACACTGCAACCAGGTGGCTGGTGGTTGAAGGTACCTGCATGAAAGACAAATGTCAAAATTCTAAAGTTTCAGCAAAAGAGAAGGAGAGAAGCACTCATACACTGTATTACAGTGGGAGAACGAGTGCAGAACTGATGTGTAGAAAAAGAATGAAACGGACCGTTCACACTGCTTGCAGAAGTGCACTGTGACTTGTTTGGGAATTCCCTCTGAGATGTCGACTTGAGTTCGCAGACAGGCAACGCACATGTTGGCAGGGTTGGGAGGGATGGGGACACCACAGGTACAGCACAGGCTGAGGAAGACAAAAACATCACTGTTTAACCTCTGAAATAATGAAAAAACAAGACAAAACTCTTCAATGATCATATTTTAGTAGTTCCAGCCTTTCAGTAAAGATAAGCTGTGCTGCTTATTACTGCTGATCGGAGCAGACTTGACCGTTTCCACATTGTTCTTGGTTCTGTAAAATGCATGAAGTTTGAAGCATAAAACACTCCATGGTTCATAATATTACAATTGTTTTCTCACATCCGCATCAGAGCTAAACCTTTTCGGACAAGCTATGAAAAAGCTTCAAGAAAAAGAAAATGTTGATTCGTTTCGCTCATAACCTCTCGCAAATATTACTTTTCCAGCTCTCCAGTCATTGAGTGTGTCCTTATTTGAATACAGCAAAAATCCACAGCAAACAAAGTGCTTGCTGGTTAGAAATATGCTGCTTGATGTTTGTTTTCTGCTGACGCGTATGTAACTTGTTTTCCACTTACTCTGCATAGTTGTGAAGATATTCTAATAATAAAAGTCATTTTTATACACAGGCAAATCTTAAAATGTAAACTAAACAGATATTTTACTGCATACTTTTAATAACAATGTCTCACTAACCAAAAATAATATAAGCTAAAGTTAACAAAAATAATTTATAAGAACAAAAGGTTAATATGATTAATTATAACCAATTAAGAAATTACTTTCAGCAGGGCACTCGTCTCTTTGGGGGTTTTGTCAACCAGGGGGTGGGGGTTTGATATGATAGAAGAGTAGCCGGGGGGGAGAAGGTTGAGAGAAGAAGCGCTATGTCTGTACTGTGCGCTAGCGTAGCGCTACGTTAAGTGTCGACAGCTGTCGACTGGGGTGGGTGCAAAAGAAGCTCTAGTGTGTATAAGGAAATGCTACCTTTGTATTACGTGCAGTTGGGAGTCTGAGCAGAGTCAGGGGTGGGGAATTTGGTAGGCAGGGTGCTCGGTTCTGTTAACAAGGTGCAGCGCCATCCTTGAATTATGGTAGGGGAAACACTGCTTTAAGTAATAAAACATAATTTAAGCTAATGTGAGCATATGTACCATTATATGGGAATGCAGATAAATGTAAATACATTGATTTACATAGATATGTTTATGGAGATACAGCTCTGTGTGTGTGTGTATGTATGTATATATATATATATATATATATATATATATATTTGCATACTGCCAAAACAGCTGTTAAAGAATGTAAATATTATACATTTCAAATGACACATTCCGTACTGTGTGAATGAGAGGGAGGCCGGTGGAACAGTGAGGCTACAAGGAGCAGAGGTCACAAAGGTGCAGGACTTCAAGTACTTGGGGTCCACTGTTCAGGAAAATGGGGAGTGTGGTAAAGAGGTGAAAAAGAGAGTCCAGGCAGGATGGAGTGGATGGAGAAAAGTTTCAGGAGTGATGTGTGACAAATGGTTGGCAGCAAAGGTCAAAGGAAAGCTAAGGTTTATAAAGACAGCTGTGAGACCAGCTATATTTTATGGTTAAAAGATGATCTGAAGATGTTGAGGTTCTCCTTGGAAGTGACAAATATACAGTATATAAAATTAGGAAGGACATCATCAGAGGTACAGTGTAGGTTGAACGACATCGAGATAAAGTTAGAGGCCAGACTGAAACGGTTTGGACATGTCCAGAGGAGGGACAGTGGGTATATTGGTAGAAGGATGCTAAAAATTATGCTGACATGAAAAAACAGGAGGGCCAAAGAGGAAATATATGGATGAAGTTAGAGAGGACATGGAAGTAGTTGGAGTGAGGGCAGAGGATGCAGAGGACAGAGTGAGATGGAGAAAGATGACTTGCTGTAGCGACCCCGAAGAGGGGACCAGAAACTTTTCTGCATCTGCTCTATCCTGCCTGGACACTCCCCTTTTCCTGATTAGTTGACCACTTTGCTCCTTGGAGACTGATTGTTCCATATGCTTCCGGATCTCACTTCTTTTATTTCCAAGTGCTATCTCCATCTCTCCAAGGTTTCTTCCACCTGTTCTCACCCTAGATCACAATGACAATGTCAACGAAAGTAGCAAGAAATATTCTCACTTACATGTTTCCCTGGCTGCTGCTAGCAGGAGCTTGCATATACTCCATACTTTTTAACTTGACAGACTGGATCTCCGGAGCCCCGTGATCTTTGGGAACAAAATAGGAAAAATGTGTCAAAAGTAAAAACTTTAAATAGCAGGACCTGCTACGATATTTACTTAGTTCAATGTGTTTTTATTTCGCGTTGCGTCCAATAAAACTTGACATCGTACGACTGAGATGCCGTGTGGCGTTAGCATCTCTAGACAAACTCAGTTAGCATTGGAAGCTAATCTGGTCATTATTACAGTATTTTTAAAGACTTTTAATAAATAAACAAGCTGAAAAGGCTAGACAAGCTATTTCGATAACTAAAACTACTACATCCGATTACTGACAGGTCGATACAAAGGCGACTTTTACGAGAAATCAACAACTCACAGTCAAATTACGTTCTCCACGTTTTCCCAACAGAGGACCGGGCAGGCTGTGCAAAACTGCAGGACCCAAAGACTGTTTTTGTTGGCCTTCATTTCCGCCTGAAACAAAATACATTTGGACACGAGTTAAACGCATAAACTATAAGAATTATTAATGTCAAGGATTAAACCCTGTATTAATTTGAATAAAATATTGAATTGTCGTAAAAATTCAATAAAATAGATCTATGGATGTTTATTTGTTTAATAATGTAAACTGGCAAAGGTTAGGTAACAACCCAATATGCAGTCAGAATATCAAGACTGTGAAGAAGGGTAAAATAACATTAGTATGTATGTTATTTTGTCCAAGTTTACAGAGATTTAAGATATTTTGGACATTTTGTCAAAAAAAGTAAAACGTTAATTTAATTTTATTTTTTTAAAGAATGTAATCTCCCAGTCAAGACTTGAGGACATTATTTGTTGAAATCAGGTCTCTTGTAAATAGTCCTCGAGGCTCAATGGGATTTACCTGTCTAAATAAAGGTTGAATGAATTATAGACATTTCACTTAAAGTTTGGATTAATCATTAAAAATCATTTATACATCGTAAAGAAAAAAAAAGAAAAAAAATCTTGTTCATATTCATTTCCATCTCCAACTATGAATATATTAACTTAGTTTTTGAAAGATTAAAAAATACATCAAAAACTTTAAAACACAAATAAAACATAAAAATCTAGTCCTCATTTATTTGACTTTCAATGTAATGCAGTATCCTGGTGTTGTAAAACTCAACCCAAAGTTCCAGTTTGCTATTTTGTTGTGTCTACTTCATATCATTCAAAAGCAGAAATGGCATTACCAATTCAATTCAGTTTAATTACATAGCACCAAATCACAACAGAAGTCGTCTCAGAGCACTGCACATAAACATTCACATACATAAAAATCAATTAACGTTATTTACCTAAGGAGCCAACAGATTGCTTTGAGTCTTCACTTTGTCCCAGTCTTCCATCCTAAGCGAGCACAGAGGAAACAGTGGAAAGGAAAAACTCCCTCACGAGGAAGAAACCTTCAACAGACAAGGACAGGACAAGTGGCCATTTGCTTCAACCGGCTGGGTTTGAGAGGACAGGAAGGAGGAACAGATACACAATTGCAGGCCCACTGAGAACCAGGCTCAGGACAAGCGGCCATCCGCTTCCACCGGCTGTGCCTGAGAGGACAAGAAGGAGAAAAGAGCACACAATGGCAGGTCAAGAATGGAGGCCATCATTCTCTGGGAGGAAAGACAAAAAAGTCAGAAATCACATGAAATCACATCACTATTCATTTGTATGCATTTGTAATTATTCATTTGATGAAATGAGGTCAGGTTGTCCTCCAGTAGTAAGGATATAGCAGCATAGGATAACATCAGGACACCAAGTCGACTAACTATAGGATTTATCATAAAGGAAAATCTTAAACTGGACAATGTGTCAGTCTTACAGACAGAAATTTTCATTCATTCAACCTTTATTTATACAGGTTAGTCTCATTGAGCCTTGAGGCAGACCATAGTAGACAATCATAAAAAAGCATTTAACACTAGAAGTCCCAGAGAAGGGTCATTTAACATTTCTACCTTTGGAACCCAGAGACGGGTCGAGTGACCTGAAGGATTTTAGCTAACATCCTATAATGAGCTGTTAACAGGCGCTTTTGTTTTGTAAATAAGGCCATTACTGGTGCACCACAGGAGGAGGCACGCTTAACTCCCAACTAACTGTTTTCCATTGAGTTTAGCCATTTAGTTTCTAGTTAGTTATATTCAGTTTATTGTATTTTATAATATGAAGATTTTTTATATATATATTGGTGGCACGTTGTTGCACATTTTGAACAAATTGAGGTCGATTGACCGTTTATTTTTCAATTGGTTTGGCTCATTTCTTGAAACCGAGATGACATTCTCAAAACACCATGTGAAACACAACTCAAGAGACTTTGCATTTTGAGGTTACTGACAATTTGTATGAAACACATATTTTGTTTTGATATATATAGTATTTAGCTTAGTTTTGAGCAAAAAAGCACAGACCATAAGCAATTGTGTGTAAGTCAAGAGGACTAAAACTTCAGCATGAGAAATATAAAAAAACAACAACTGTTATTTGTTTCCATGCTTTTTATTTTTGTCATAAAAATACAAGGGATAAAACAATTCTACACATATTTACACTATGCTCTAGTGGGGGGGCTGCGTGTGTGTGAGTGGCATGTCCTCCTTGTGTGACTGGCATTTCAGCACTCACTCAGCAGTCCATCTGCACTGTCGAAACACACCTGGCACTGCCAGGGTATGTCCCTGGTACATTTGCCACATGTGTATTTGTAGCAGTTGACACATCTCACAGTTGCACAATTGTTCGTGCATCGATGTTTGATCTGACACTTTGCCCTTTTGCCAGGGCTGGGTGTGGAAGGTTGTTGCTGAAGCAGTTTCTCCTTGAGTGCCTTCTTCTCACAATTAATTTGGTTATTTTTTTCTAAACTGTCATTTTGAACCCACTTCTCTTTTTTCTGAAAGAAAAACATTACTAAAATCTTTTAGAAAAACTTTTGCATATATCTTGAAACAGATTGTATGTTTTGCAAACTTTTGTTTGGTTTTGTTCATTTGGCAAAATGACCTGGATAATGCATCTCTCCCAAAACACTTCATGTATGCTTCAAAACAAAATATGTGTTTCATACAAATTGTCAGTAACCTCAAAATGCAAAGTCTCTTGAGTTGTGTTTCACATGGTGTTTTGAGAATGTCATCTCGGTTTCAAGAAATGAGCCAAACCAATTGAAAAATAAACGGTCAATCGACTTCAATTTGTTCAAAATGTGCAACAACGTGCCACCAAGAGATATAAGTTCAAAATATAACCAGTTGATTTCGCATCTGTTTGGAGTATTAGACGGACGTTTGTGTGAGTTCAGCTTATCTCTCCCCTGCTGATCCCTAAGGCAATGGCCACATTTACAAATGAAAGGATGCTAATTGGAGCCATCAGAGTTGTCTGGTTTGGAGCACTACTTTGACTAAGGCTGCGCTTTTTTGCACAAGTGAACCTGGCTTCTAAATCCCCCGCTCCCTGGATTGGACATTGGAATGCAGTCTGGTGAGGTGGGTGTGTCTGAGTTACTTGTGTGCATATTTAAAACAAATGGCAGTTAATGGCCCGCAAATTGTTGAGGAGAAGGAGGGGGTTTGTCCTCAGGATCTTGAAAATCTAGTCACTCTAGTGCTAAGGGTCTTTTGACCCTTTTTCAGGACTTCTGGGGGGAGGTCGAAATTCCTGGGACTTCTAGTGTTAAAATGAAAAATAAATAGAAGAAATGGTATAAAACGAAACAAAAACAACTACATTATATAACATTATATTATATATTATTATATTAGCTACATTAAATTGGAAGTTGGTTCCACAAGAGAGGAGCCTGATAACTGAAAGCTCTTCCTTCATTTCTGCTTTTGGAAGCTCTAGGAACCACAAGTAAGCCTGAAGACTGAGAGCAAAGTGCTCTGTTAGGAAAATATGGAAAATAAGATCTGTAATATAAGATGGAGCTAGGTTGTTGAGAGCTTTGTAGGTTAGAAGTAAGATTTTGAATTCTATTCTGAATTTGACAGGAAGCCAATGGAGAGAAGCTAAAACTGGAGAAATATGTTCTCTCCTACTAACTCCCATTAAGACTCTGGCAGCATCATTTTGGATCAACTGAAGACTTTTCAAAGATGTTTTTGGACCACACCGCCATATCCCCTTTTGTTGAACACATTGACAGTTATATTATACTCTTGTCTAAGCAACCCGTTATAGTCACTTTATATGATATATCCACCATACAGCCGGGCTCCTATCTTGCATTTAAAAATGAACATGTCAAGCGTCTTTGAATGCACCTGCCACACAGTGGTTGTTTAGATGCATTCAAGTACTGTCGGAAAATTATTAACGCTTGCATGTTAGATCAGTTTTGAAGACAATTCAATTCTAAAATCAATATACTGTAATTACATATAATTAATATCGTGATTGCAAATTTAAAAACAATCACCGTTTTTTTATTGTGGTTGCTTTTCATCTAAACTATTATGTATTTCTTGTACTCGTTTAAAATCTTACATCACATATTTTTGTTGTGTATGTTCTGCTCAATGTACAAGTAATTTTTACATTTAGTAAATTACACTAAATGTTTTTAATGTAAATTTATCACGTCATTATCATATAATTTATCATATGCTATTTTATGTGTATTCTTGTGCCCGTTTTGATAAAATTATCAATTTTATGCCTTCTCTATTTATGATCGTTTTTTGTTCCTGTTCTCAACGTGTGTTTTCTCACGCATGACTTTGTGATCATTTGTATTTAATTTAGGTTTATATCAGTCACTCTATTTTTCTTTAAGCTTGTTTTTATTAGTCTGGCTGTTTGGTGTGATATTTCGTATTTCTATGTAACAGCGTTGGTTCTCTGACTCCGTTGGCTCTAGTCTGTCAGTTATTATACAGGAAGTGGACAAAAATACAACGAGGCTTATGGTTATGGTTAACAAAGGGGCATATTCCGAGCTGTACCTGAAGGCAGCACCATCTTGTAGAACTCAGCGGCAGAGAGGCTCGCGCAGTCAGAATGCGCGGCGGGTTGGAATGCGAGGGTTTCGGCACGCGCTATTTCTGGACTCTCGCAGAGCTGGTCGTCGAGGGAGCGCTTCTAACCCGTATCTGAACTCCGGTGACGAAGCCAGCACACTTGCTGAATTTAAAGTCCGAACGAGCGAGCGTCCCTGCCGTCCCTCTCCCGGGTGGTGTCGTCGGTGCTCTCTCGGACCACAGTGAACGGTCAACTGGCGGTCGGTCCGCGGGGCTACATGCTAGAAGGACCCCGCTGCTGCTGGCTTCCCCACGAACTCTGTCCTGTGTCTGCGCGGCTCCTGTCCAGAAACATTCAGTAAACAGTCACCTGCTCAGTGAGTGTAAGTCCGGACGTTCCACATCGGCGTGAAACGCTCCTTTAAATGTTTCACAGCTACAACAACAAAGACGAACGATGGAGTAAAGTCAGCGGTTGGCGACACACGCGTGTGAGCGCGCGACAAACCTGCCGTGATTTCTTGCGCGTAAACAAATAAATGATAGAGGCTACAATGACCCTGCTGTCTCTGTTGGGTCGGATCATGCGTTACTTTCTTCTCAGACCGGAGACCTTGTTCCTGCTGTGCATCAGCCTGGCTCTGTGGAGCTACTTCTTCCACACGGACGAGGTGAAGACCATCGTGAAGTCCAGCCGGGACGCCGTCAAGATGGTGAAGGGGAAAGTGGCGGAGATGATGCAGAACGAGCGGTTCGGCGGGCTGGACGTCCTGGACGCGGAGTTCTCCAAGACCTGGGAGTTCAAGAGCAACAACGTGGCCGTGTACTCCATCCAAGGCCGGCGGGATCACATGGAGGACAGGTTTGAGGTGCTCGCTGACATCGTGAACAAGAGCCACCCGTCAATATTTGGGATTTTTGATGGCCATGGAGGAGAGGTGAGGTTCTTTATGAGTCCTTGGACCCAAGAGGTCCATTAAACTGAGCTACAAGTGGACAGGCAAATCTTATTTTTTGTAAAGTTGCTTTAATCTGATTTGATTGCTGGTTTTAATTGGTCGGATTTGCACAAACTACATGTCCACTTTATAGGATTAACTAATCTTATAAATAAGTAAATATTGAAAATGACGCTCATCAGTATGAGCGTTGTGTGATCTTGTCTTCACAAATCAAATAGTGATAAATAATTTGGCCAAGTTGACATCTTTTTTTGTTTTACTTGCTTTTTGCCTCCCTCTGCTTGCAGGATAATAGTTTCTGAATATTATTTGATAAATCAAAGATGATCACATTTGTGTCAGAGTTCAAGACTTTAAGATCATCTTATGTTTGTTGAGAATTGGAACAGATGCTGTGTGGTCCGTTAGCCCGTGGGAATATGTGCTGTAAATGACTGTCAGCTACTAACTACTACACCAAATTTTAACTCAGTGACTAATGTGCTCTGAGGTACAGTCATTCTGTGTTGGAGTTATTAGCTGTTTAGTAATATGTAATTGCTTGTTGAAAGTTTCATTAAAAACTATTCAGTGATTAACAAGATACTTTGTCAACGCTGCAGACACGAGCAACAACATTATCGTTTTCATCTTTGGCAGTGGACAACAACAAACATCCACCCATTTTCTTTACCCGCTTCCTACAGTGCCTTGGGGGAGCTGGTGCTTGTCTCCAGCTGTCCCTGTGCAAGAGACGAGGTACACCCTGGACAGGTCTCAAGTCCATCACAGAGACACTTGTTGGGGGCAAATGACACAGGCAACAATTCACAGTCTCACTTGCACATATAGGGACAATTTAGAGTTACCAAATAACATAACATGCATGTTTTTAGTCTGTAGGAGATCCACATGAGTATAAGGAGAACATGTAAACTTCACACAGAAAGGCCAGGAGGTGAACTAGCAACCTCACTGTGAGGGAACAGCTTTAACTATTGTTTCACCATGCCACCCTGATAGGTTCAAGGTTCTCTTTTCTCATTCGCATCACGTGTGGTACATGAGGTGGAACAAAACTGTGTACTCAAGGTCCCAGTTACACCCAAAATAGCAAAAATATAAAGTATAAAAAGAAACAATATATAAGGATCTAAGATATACGCTAAGATATAAGCTAAATGATACGCTAAAAGATATAAAATATACGCTAAGATATAAGCTAAATGATACTCTAAAAGATCTAAGATATACGCTAAGATATAAGCTAAACAATACATTAAATTATCTAAGATATATGCTAAGATATAAGCTAAATGATAAGCTAAAAGATCTAAGATATACGCTAAGATATAAGCTAAACGATAAGCTAAAAGATCTAAGATATACGCTAAGATATAAGCTAAACGATACATTAAAAGATCTAAGATATACGCTAAGATGTAAGCTAATTGATACGCTAAAAGATCTAAGATATACGCTAAGATATACGCTAAGATATACGCTAAGATATAAGCTAAACGATACTCTAAAAGATCTAAGATATAAGCTAAATGATAAGCTAAAAGATCTAAGATTTATGCTAAGATATAAGCTAAACAATACATTAAATGATCTAAGATATATGCTAAGATATAAGCTAAATGATAAGCTAAAAGATTTAAGATTTATGCTAAGATATAAGATTAGATATAAGCTAAACAATACGCTAAAAGATCTATGATATACGCTAAGATATAAGCTAAATGATAAGCTAAAAGATCTAAGATTTATGCTAAGATATAAGCTAAACGATACATTAAAAGATCTAAGATATACGCTAAGATATAAGCTAAATGATAAGCTAAAAGATCTAAGATATATGCTAAGATATAAGCTAAATAATAAGCTAAAAGATCTAAGATATACGCTAAGATATAAGCTAAACGATAAGCTAAAAGATCTAAGATATACGCTAAGATATAAGCTAAATAAT